CCTGTGAGGCACAAGGCCGGCATCTTAGCCAGCCAGATGCAGCATGGCTGCCACCCCGTCATTCCCCTTAGCATTCCATGCTCATTCACCAGCCCTCCAGCCCCTCAGGGTTGTGTGTCCTTTGAAGAGGCAGCCAGTCATTCTTATTGATAGGAGGCACTGTTGGGGGTGGGGGACAACCCTGCTGCACATCCAGGCTCTGCAATGCCTCGGTGCCTCAGCAAGCTGGGTCTCCCAGCTCAGGGGTGCATGACAGCGGGAAGCCCATGCACTGCCCATGTGCAGCAGCCCGCATTGCTCCAAGGCTGTGTTCACTGTCCCCACTCCAACCATCAGGGGCCATGGGCTCACCCGCAAAACTTCAGCCACAAAGTCAGCACTCAGAGAGGTTGGCAGTCAGAGGAAGGAGATGTGATCTATGTGGGAATCCCCATGCACTGCAGGAGAACAGTCCCACGTGTGTACAAAAAATGCCCAGCCCTGCATCTAACACAGAGATTCAATAAATGTTCATGGTTAAAAAGGAAGGCAGAGCCAGGGTTTTAGCTCAGTGGTGCCACCACCTGCCTCACAAGTGCAAGGTCCTAAATTCGACCCCCAGTACAAAAAAAAAAAGAAAAAAGACAGTGGCTCTGCAGATGTGCAGGTGTACACTAGCTGGGCACGTGACACCAGGTGTGCACAGCATACATGTATGAGCACTGCGAATATGTCAGGGGCAGGCAGCACACTGTGTGTGCATGGTTCTGGAGATCCAGTTACCACAGGTCAGCAGTAATTGCTAAGAAATAAAAGCATCAGCAATGGCTCCATGGTGGTACCCTTGCCTAGCATGTGCACAGCCCCAGGTTCAATCCACAGCAAAATAAATACATACACACCCAACAGCAATGAATAATCCAGAAAAGAAATTACCAAAACAGTTCCACTTCTGATAGCATCCCTCCTCAAAAAACAAAGCAAAACAAATTAAAAACTTGGAATAAACTTAACCAAGAAGGTGAAAGACTCAGACATAAAAACAACACATTAAAGAGGACATACATAAATGGAGAGATGTTCCACGTTCATGGGTCAGAAGACAACACTGGTAAGATGGCAATACCAGCTCCTACAGATTCAATGCAATCCCGCCAAAATTCCAGTAGTTTTATTTCTCTTTCAGAAATGTAGCAGCCAGTCCTCAAATTCTCACAGAATTAGAATGTGCCCCCAAAAGCCAAAATAATCTTACAAGAGAGAAACAATATCAAAGGGCTCACACTTCCTGATTTCAAACTTAGTACAAACCTGTAGTACCCAAAACAGCATGCTACTGGTATAAGGACAAACACATAGATAGATGGCACAGAATTGAGAGTTCAGAAATAAACCTTTGTGGGCCAGGGGTTTAGCTCAGTGGTTCAGCCGCCTGCCTCAGAAGCTCAAGGTCCAGAGTTCAATCCCCAGTTTCAAAAAAAATTTAAAAATTAAAAAAAAAAAAACTTTGTAAGTATGGCCAAATGATTTTCAACAGTGGTGCCAAGAGCATTCCAGGAAAAAAGAACAGTCCTTGGGCCAGGGATTTAGCTCAGTGGTTCTGCCACCTGCCATGCAAGCACAAGGACCCAAGGTTGATCCCCAGTACCAAAAAATAAATAAATAAATAAAGAACAGTCCTCAACAAATGTTGCTGGGACAACTCAACATCCACATACAAAAGAATGAATCTGGAGCCGGGCATGGTGGTGTACACTTGGGAAGCTGAGGCAGGAAAATCACAGTGAGTTCAAGGCCAACCTGGGCTACATAGTAAATTCAAGGCAAGCCTGAACTACATAGTGAGATCTGGTCTCCAAATATCCCAAATAAATAAATACATACATAAAAATTAAATACAAAACTCTTAAAAGAAAGCATAAAGTGGTGCTGCTGCCTGCCTTATAAGCATAAGGTCTGGAGTTTGATCCCAGTACCAAAAAAAAAAAAAAAAAAAACCAACCAAAAAGCATAAAGATGACTTCAAAATCCTGGATCTGTTAATGGATTACTAGATGTGACACCGAACATAGAAGCAGCAAAGGAAAAAATAAACTGAAACTTGTCAAATTTTAAAACTTTTTCCTCATCAATAGACATGAACGAGAAAGTGAAAAGAGTAATTACAAATCATGTTATCTAGAATACTGCCTGTAATCTCAGCTACTCAGGAGGCTGAGTCAAGAGATTCTGAGTTCAAGTCCAGCCTGGGAAACTTCATGAGAACTTGTCTCAAAATGAAAAGGGTCTTGCAGTAAGGTCTGAATGGGTTAATCTTGTCTAATGTAAGTAAATGAGTCTATAGACTGTGATCTCCCCAAACTAAAAAGTACAGTACTTGAAATTGTGTCCTTTAGTATTGCAGTGTTGGTAAAGCATTAATATGCAGAAAATAAAGGAATTATACAGTAAAAAATAATAAAAAGGGTTCCTCAGTTCAATCTTTAGTCCAAAAAAAAAAAAGAGAGAGAGAGAAAGGGCCAAGTGGGCTGAGCATGTTTATCAGTGGTAGAGCACTTCTTAGCATGTGCAGGGCCCTGGGTTTGATCCCTAGCACTGAAGGAAGAAGAAAGAAAAAAAGACAGCAAATGTCAAAGGGCTTGAGAAGACATTTCTCTGAAGAAGATGCACAGGAATCACCAATAAGCACGTGAAAAGATGCTCAGTATCATTAATCATCAAGGAAATGACAGCAAAAACCACAGCGAAATACTCCTTCATAGTCACATCCACTAGGATGGATATAACAACAAAAAAAGGGTAATAACAAGGCTGAGGAGGATGAAGAGAACCGTGCAACTCTCGTGGAAAATTGTTGGTTATTCACAAAGTTAAATTTAGGGCTGGGGGTGCAGCATACATGGTTAGAAGCCCAAAAGAACTGACAACAGGTGTTCAACCAACGTTTGTGCACACAGTTCACAGCATCATTCACAACAACCTTAAGTGGAAGCAACTCAAAGGTACATCAACTAATGAATGGACAAACTGTGGCCTCCCTGTACAGTGGCGCAATATTCAGCCATAAAAATCAATGAGACACTAGCACATGCTACAATGTGGATGAATCTCAAAAACAGTATATGCTCAGTGAAAGAAGATTCAAAGGCTACATATTACATGTTTCTATATATGAAATAAGAAATCTCCCGAATAGCTCAACACTGGTGGTTGTCGGTGCAGGAGGGGAGGAGAGAAAGGGAATCACTGCTAGATGGGGAGAGGCTTTTCTCTGGAGTGATGAACACGTTTGGGACCAGAGAGAAATGAAGGCTGTACAACATCATGCATGCACTAAGTGCCACTAAACTGTATACCTTAAAGCAGTTAATTTTATGCTCTCTGAATTTCACCTCAATTTAAAGGAAGGACTGGGTTCTCCATTTGCTTGGACAGGCAGTACAAAGACCTTGAGTTCTCTCGGGCTTTGAGATGAAAGCCAGTCTGGCTGGAATTCTAAATATGTTTTTCTGTTTTCCCCCAACACTGAGGCAGGAGTGGGGGTGGGGTGGGAGAGGCCCTCAGGTAGGGTAGCCCACGGCCACCAAGTCACAAAGCTAGGAATGAAGGTCAGCAGAAGCAAGGAGACTGAAGAAGAAAAAGGCAGGAGGAAGGCAGGGATGGGAGCACCAGGATAAGAGGGACCCCGAGGAACTGAGATTGAGTGTGAGCTGCCGCAGGTGGCTGCTTGGAGAGAGAACCACGTCCATTTCTAGCACCACCTGTAGCCCTCCTTGCTAACATTCGTACCCATGTCACGTTGTCCTACATGGACACAAGTGGTTGTCAGCACCTGGTGTTTGTTCAGACCCTTTGAGCCCGATGACACAAGGCAGGCGCCACCTCCTCACTGCAACCTACTGCAGATGAGTGTGTCCACCTGCGACGGGTCAGAGCGCCCCTGCTGGAGTCGGGAGCCGGGCACATCACCAAGCCCTGTGACCCTCTACCCTGCTGCCCCTGGGTTGAGGCTGAGAATGGAGGTGACAAAATAACCCACTCTACCTCCCACTTGCAGTAGACACAGGAACTAAACAAGATGATGAGTGCACAATAACATCGAAGGTGTTAAACCTGCCTGAATGTCAGCTCCCGTATTATTATTAGTCACTCTCTGTAATCTCAAAAACTAATCGGCAGACTTTGTTTTACCCACACCCTGAATTTTAGGAGTCAGATTCTTCTAGCACACTCCAACACAGAACACTGTCTTTAGGCCCTCCCTGGCTCCCAAAACAAATCCCCTCATTCTCTTGAAATAGGGGCCAGATAAGTAGTGAGGTACTAGGACATGGCCAAAGACAAAAGGGCACCCATGCGTGGCAGGGTCGACACTGAGCATCTCAAGCCTCAGGCAGGATCTCAGGCCATCTGTGGCCACACCTGATGCCCAAATGGCCCCAAACAAATGTGGCTGCAATTCTGATGCTCACACCAAGCCCGTTTCTAGCTAAATATGCCTAATAAAAGCAAAGAGTCTGACGATAAAAAGAATCACACCAGTTGCTTCCTTCCAGGCACATTTCATTTGGAAAACAAGGTTTGACAGGAAGGTCTGCTTTGCCCTCTAGAAGCTGGCTAGGCATTCTTCCCACCTCCTCTAGAACTTTGAAAGCTCACATAGGCTAATTCCTTGTCTTAAAATAATTGATCATTATTTCTAAACATATTGCATTGCTGCCCCTCCCCAGCACTCACCATCTGGGTTTCTGATCACCCAGATTTTAGCACTAGCCAGGTGTGGTGGCGCATGCCTGTAATCCCAGCACTTGGGAGGCTGAGGCAGGAGGATCGCTGTGAGTTCGAGACCAGCCTGGGCTACACAGTGAGCTCCAGGGCAGTCTCAACTACATAGTGAGACTCTGTCTCAAAAAAACAGATTTTAGTGCTGGACCTGACCCCTGATCCTGACACCCACATTCCAATGTGGAACAACACAGCCAGCCACTGAGCATGACCACAGTCCTGCTCCACATCCCCAGGTGCCCCAAACGCAGGAGCTGAGGAGTGGATGGACACAGTCCTGATGGACATGGACACAAAGAGGGGAGCAGAACCCAAAGTGACACACAGACATACGGGCTCAGAGGGAGTTAGGCGAGGTAAGTTTTCCCCAATGTACCTTTCAAGCCTTCTCCAAATCTGACCACCTCCCCACCCCAGCCCCACCTCCACCTCCTGCTCTCCCCCGCCCCTTGAATGATAGCAGTCACACCCTGGCTGGCTCCCCATACTCACCCTTATTGCCCAGCTGTTGTCACAGCAACCATCAGGAACCTGCCAAAACTTCAGTCTGAGACAGACGTGGTGCCACACATCTGTAATCCCAGCTACTTGGGAGACTGAGGCTGGAGAATTAAAAGTTTAAAACTAGCCAGGATGGAACTGGGGATTTAGGTGCTGCCACCTGCCTCACAAGTGCAAGGTCCCAAGTTCGATCTCTGGTACCAAAAAAATAAAATAAAATAAAATAAAACTAGCCAGAGCAACTTAATGAGATCATAGCTCAATCAATCAAACAAACAAACAAACAAAAACTTCAGGCTTCTCCTGCCCCTCCTCGGGCCAGACCCCAAATCTGGCTCATGGCCCCAGATGAAATGAGTCCTGGCCACACCTACAGCTCCAATTTCTTTGGTCACACAGCTCTTACTACTCTTGTGACAAGACCCACCAGAGGGAGATGGAACTCTATCTGCAAGTCTGAATTCTTGCACAAGAAACCCCCTAAGAGGCAAGAGATCTGCCCAGCTATCCCCAGAGATCTCACTGCCATCTCCAAGACCCTAGTAAAATACTGAATACATATTTACTGAGAAATAAATGAAACTCTTGTCACCAAAATCACCTGCAAAGGGTTCAAACTCTTTCAAGTCAATTTTACTGATGTCTCTCTCTCACACACACACACACACACACACAAACACACACAAACCTCCCTTCAAATCCAATACAACAAGCACCTGAAAGAAGGCCAGAAAACTACAATTTAAGAATGTTGAGTTCATTACTAGAATCATTTGTATTTCCCAGAGATCAAAATCCTTCCCATCGAGTCAATAACAAGGTGCAAAGCCAGGCCTCCTAGGAAATAGGCAGGGGTATGGGGAATGGGGTCTGCTCTTGTCCACCGGATAGAAGACACAGGCACAAGGAGACTGCGGTGCTCGACCAAAGGACATCTGCACAGGAGTAAGATCCCTAAAATGAGAGGACAGAGCCCCAACACCTGAGCAGGGCCCCACATTCCTACCAAAAAGGGCAGGATTACAACTGGCCTCTAGCTGCCTCCTACCCCATCCTACCCAAAAATCTATCCCTTCTGAGTCAGAGCCCCAGTGCCCAGGCAGCATCACAGTTGATGCCAGTGAAGGCAGGCAGAGCTGACAAGGTGCCCAGCCCCAAGAGACCAGCCAAGACCATGACAGGGTCGGAGAAGGAAACCTGCAAGAACAGAGGGAAAAGGTGACTCAGGTACCATACACATGCTAGGGGACAGAAAGGAAGGTCTTCTTCCCCGCCCCCCTCAACCTAAGCCACTCCTTCCAAGGAATGCAAAGGGACCCCCCCACCCCCACACACACATCACAGCCCCTCCCGGTGGAGAGGTGTCCCCAGGAAAACACTGGGAGGGGTGCAATGGTGCTTGGTGCCCTGTGGAATGAACTCACCCTAGAAACCAGCCTGGGCCCTAGAAAGGGGCTGCTTCAATTAAGTTCTCGGCTGAGACTGCTTGCCAAGAGCAAAGGTGACACCACTGTGAGTCTAGGTGACTTGGGGACCCTCTCTCCAATTCTCCCCTAAACAGGGCTGCTGGAGAAATGGAAGGTGACTCCTTTAAGACAAACCGAGGCTTTTTACTTCAAGAGAAACTATGTTTGTTTTTACAGTTACTGTGTATGGCAAGTTACACTAATGTTCTATTTCAGGGAATGATACGAAGTTTCCTTTTAAAAGAAATATTCGCTAAAGACACAGGAGACTTAAATGCAACAGTGGGATCCTGGAAAAGGAAAAGGACACCAAGGGGGGACCTTGTAAAACCAATCTGAGTACATCAAGTCTGTACTTCAGTCAACAGTTCAAGTCTCTCTGTGGTTTTGATGCTGGCACCATGTTTTATCCAGCTGTAGGTGAAGTGGAGATGAGCACATTAGGGAAACTACTATTTCTAAAACTCTTCTCAGTAAGTCTAAAGTTCCCTCAAAGTAAAGAGTGTAAAAGTCTTCCAACTTTTAAAAAAGTGAGCTAAAATATGAGCTATAAAGTAAAAATAACACTAGTGGTACCAGGTCTGGAAAGAGTTGTGGGGTTCACTCAAGAACACTGGGGATTGAGAAACACACAGGGCTGGTCCCTCACATTCATTTTATCAGAGACCACTGGGCTGTGGAAGGGGAACCAGGGACTGCCCAGGGCTGTGGGAACAAGCACAGGGCTGAGCCTTGCGTCACCCACCAGGCTCCTACCCCCGATCCCACTTTCTCCACATGCAGGCCCTGTTCAGGGCCACCGGGGTCCAGACCCACGAGGAGGCTTTCTCTGCTCAGGGTTCACTGGAGCAAGTGACCCTTAAACAGAAGCTTGAGAAAATATCCCACATAGGGGGAAATGAATCTTTGCTGATTAACTGCCTGTCTTGGATCAAATCAAAGACTTCAGATAAGCAATAAAAGCGATAAGGCCTCCCCAGAAATTCTCTTTCAAGTGTCAGGACTGGTCACACCTCCCTGCCTCTGCCCAAGCCAAACCAGCAAAGATACCAGCCCATCAGGTTAGCTTTCAGCCCTTCTCCTGGGTTTTCCCCTGGCCTCCAAGTTCAGCTCAGAACTAGACTTCGCTTCCCAGAGGGTCCACTGGGGACACGACAAAGGTCCTCCCAGGCTCGCTCACTGGACTGAGATTGGGCATTGAGCATGGGCAGCACCTGGGGGCTGACAGGTACCCATGGGCTCTGCAGCCCCCTCCGGCGGGGGGGCATCACTTTCTGAGCCATTTAGGGTCAGCTTCCCAACCTCTTTGGATCTGAGGAGCCCTACAAGCACTCAAGCACTCAACCCCAGTGTTCTGGCCACAAAACCCTGACATAGATCCCAACTGACAGAAGTGTTTGGAGTCACACCTTGTGTCCCATACTCTCACTCTTCTCCACAACCAGCATTCCAGCAGGGCAGCCGAGGAGGCTGAAGAGAAGTCAGGAGTCCACATACCCCAACACCCTTCTGATAAGCACCCCTGTTACAAGCCGGAAGGTGTGACAGATACCCAGGGCTGACAGATGTGAGCAGGCCGAATCCCACACCGGCCACCCAACTCCCCAGGCAGAGGGGACAGGAGTCCACAGCTCACTTTTAAGGGGTATTGGCCGACTCTAAAGACCCAAGGTGAGAGCCAACAGGAGGATCTCCTCGGTGGAAGGACAATCGGGGACCACCCACCACCACACCCCCTCCCTTCCCTCCAGCCTGCTCCCGGCCACTAAAGACTGAAGCCCCATAGGGTGAGCAGCATAGGCCGGCCCCCAGTCCCCCGGGTCAGACCTCCCAGGGCCCAAACACATCCCACAGGCAAAGTCAGAAGTGAGAACCTGTTGGAGCAGTTTAGGCCAGAGGATCACCTCTTCCTCCTCCTCCTTTTACTCCTGGGTGGGAAGAGACCTCAGCTCTTGAAAACTAGGCACACAGCCAGGTCATGGCTATGAGCAAGGACCAAGAAGCGGGTTTCAGTACCTCCGGGCTTACCTCACACCCCCTCCCCATCTTCCTTAGACAGCATAAGGTCATGTCAAAACTGGGGTGACCCTGCCTGGAGCACAGAGAAGGGAAATGGGGAACCGTGAAGGCCAGCGAGGAGGCGGCAAACCACAACCCCCACCGCCGACACAGACACCGTTCTGTCACTGCACTCCCG